TAATCGTATCTCCTCTTCCCAAATTGCCCATTTTTGTTTACAAGCTGAAGGAAAATTAGGGAGAATTTACTGTATTCGCCATTCTTCTTAAATGACTATCCAGGATTCTAAACCCGTGAGTGGAACTTGCAAAATTTCAAAATAATTGAAAGACAAATATTATCAAAATTCCTATATCAATTGCACCATGGTGGTGAAATGCTGCCGTTTCGGCAGCATTTTATTTGCTAAGAATTCTGGGAACGCTGCAAACGCAACCGACGCCTGCGATCTCGTTACGAATACGTGACGATCAATTTTAATGGAAAAGAGACGCAATTCCGTCACGTCGTTGTGCTTATCGTTTGAGTGCGAATCCTCAAAACATTAAATTCCGAGTGGGAATGGGCGACGGTTATTTTGACAATATCGTTGGAATAAATGGAATAAAATAAGGATTCCATAATATAGTTATTGATCAAATATTGAAAACAGAATACAACAAATTTTTCTAATTGACGCTCAGATTGTGCACAAAAATGGACAATTTGGTAAGAGAAGATACGATTATTAGAGCTTTGCGCCTCGTTTGTATAGTTGTTGATAATCGGTAATTATAAAAACGAGCCGCGAGGCTCCAATAATCGTATCCCCTCTTCCCAAATTGTCCAATTTTGTTCACTAGCTGAGAAACAATTGGCGGCTCGTTTTTATAGCTGCCGATTGTCAACAACTACAAAAACGAGCCAAAGGCTCAAATAATCGTATCGCCTCTTCCCAAATTTCTATCTTTGTATACAAATCTGAGTGTCAATTAGGGAGAATTTACTGTACCGTCATGGTAGTAATCTCGTTCAGATATTATACAGACGTACGTTCGATATCTTCGATGACTTTATCGATAATTCGATCAACTTTCCTCAGTTCTGATTTATTCATCCCAACGGTGTTGTGCATACATCGTGCAGTATCGGTAATTTATCGCACCGCTTGTGCACGGTATGCAGCAAAGCTCGTAAAAAGATAGAAAACGAATTTTCAGTCACGTCTACCGTCGAACGTGTCCGATCAGCGATTGACGGGATCTATGAGCGCATACCTTTTTTTTCTCTAAAGGATGTACGAAAATCGTTGAATCATTCCGAGCAATCGAATCTTCGAGACAGTGGGCAAATAACTATTAAACACCTGATTTTATAGTGATGTCCATCTCTGGAACGAGTCTTTATCTATGCTTTGTCAAAAATAAAATCGCCATTGCCTTGGAAACGGTATTGCCTTAAAAAAGGACGTGTGGTCGCATAAATTACATTGTAACAAATTCAACGGTCCCATCGTTGAAAAGAAATTAGAACATGAACGAAACTGTTTAAACTTTCAATTGGTTCTGCTGTGGTTGCTGTAATTCGGAAGTTAAAAGTTTAATAAATAACTATTGTTTACAGAAGTTTACAGTTGAATAAATTACAGATTATTTCAAGCCCCGGTCGCGAAACCCTGTTCCGAGCTCTGCAATAAAACTTGAATATTATACCGGGTGACATGGTATGATCTACGAGTCTCCTCTCCACCCAGCACGTCCGTTCAATCCCATAACCGATCACATAACCGAAGCCTACACATGGGGAAACTCGATCGAAGAGGTCCGAACGTATCCAGAAAACGGCGAATTAATTTTATTCGATATGGGGGCAAGGCTGCGTCCTCCCTCTCCGTTCCTCCATGAACGAGCCAGGGCCAATTGCCTCTAAAGAAACTTATTACCGATAGAATGGACAGTCAGCGTCGGATCCCGGCGATCTCAATTTCCGCGTTCCCCTTTCGAGTGTTATTAGCGATAGTTAGCCCCGGTTCTTTATTCCCACTTCAATTCCGAATCAACGTAGGGTGCCCGGGGCGAAAGAAACGGAGGCAGGGAGAAAAAGAGATGAGTCGACTAGGTCGGGCGGGAAGGTGATAAAACCCAGGGGCGAGAAAATACCTCATCGTGATGACTAGATGCAAATTGTCCCGGACAGTGTTCACGTAGGCGGAAAAAAGGTTGCTCCTATTGATCTGGAGACCAGCCTCCTGCACTCTGCCACGCATCGCGTGGAATATCCGTTCGATCTCGTCCGTTTGGTACACGTTCGGCACGTCCCCGTTGTTCAACATGCTGTTCAGGTCCTCCAGCATCGATTCGTTCTTAACCTGAGACCAGAAATTACTGCTGAAACGTGTCTCTCAAACAGCCAAATATTACATTCTACAAACTACAGAGTGGCTTGAGAAAGTCCCCCTACTTTCGGCGAGATGCCTGGTGTTCCTAAAGCAACGGAACAGTTTTACAACTTTTGCTATGCGAACGACATCAAACACATTCGAGAATTTTCCCTATGACTGATCTTGATTGCAGATTCGAGGATCTTAACTTCCCCTTTGCAACGACCCATTAAACTTTGGTGTACGATTTTTTTTTATTGTAGCGTTTTATTCATTTGTTTGTAAGAAGGTAATACGTAAGGAAGAATTAAATGAAAAATTATACTACAGAAAATATTATCGCTTATAAAAGTTAGTAAAATAAAGATTCTGCAATACGCTGTTCAATTCTGTTCTATTTATACAATTTTGAGATCCATACAGTGATTCCCGTTAATATTCGGACATTTTTCAAAACGCAATAACTTTTTTAGAACTGGACTAAACGACTTGAATGTTTTCTTAGATGATAGAGCGACCAGTTTACCAGAACATAACTAAAATACTTTTCTAAAATTTTGTTATTGTTTAGAATGACAAAAGAAAATAAAAAAACTCTCGTTGTTTAACTTTCTTATCTGAGCTTATAACGAAAATTTGAAGAATGTATTTTGTAGATCTCGGTAAGTTATATGCATGTCAAAAATTTTACAGAAATCGGTTGACCTTGGTACGTGCTGTAAACAATTAAAGATCGCAAAAATCGCAGTTTTGTCCCGATTTTTGACACTTTCGAATGATAAGTGTGGGAAATTTGCAATTTATCACAATCTTTTAAACACTTGTAACTAGATTTTTGACAAAACGCACTTTTTAAATTTTCGTTATAGGCTCAGATAAAAAAGTTAAAAAAACGAGAGACTTTTATTTTGTTTTGTCATTCCAAGTAATGGCAAAATTCCAACGAAGTAGTCTAACCATTGTCTAGTATAACAGCCCCTCTATCATCTAAAAAAAATTCAAATCGTTTATTCGACTTTTAAAAAAGTTATTGCGTTTTAAAAAGTGTCCGAATATTAATGGGAGTCACTGTATATTGAACGGTGGTTCAAATGGTGGTTCAAATGAAATAGAGAGCGTGATTTCTTAGATATTTCGTTGGTACATACAAGGAGAACAATTAAATAATTGTTGGACATGAAATACGACCTGATTACTTTACTTGCAAACACAATATCGAAAGTTTCATTTCTCTTGTATCTTGCAAGATCTACAAGACGTTTTGAAGACTCTTCGTAATTATTTGCGAATAAACCTGCCCCTTCAGTTTATCGCTCGCTGTATCATGCAAAAGCAAGTTAAGAAGGCATGGCGAACGAAGCTGAGAGAACGTAGCAGACCGTGGAAAGTCAAGGGTCGTCGCACTTGAAGCTAATTGCAATTGAAGCTAAAGAGATAATATTGCACAGGAGAACGAAAACGAAGGCGGACTGCAGCTTCTATTTCCGGCCATACGCGCGACATTCGAGATTCGACCCCGGTTCTTCACCTTTATTCGATTTATTCGAAATTACCAGGGACGCGGTTCGTCGCGTAAAACGGCGATGGAGGGTAAAATCGAAGATGCAGAGACGAAACCACAGCCGACGCCATTTTTTCCGTTTTATTCTTAATAACCTGGCACAGGATACGCCATGATGTGCAAAGTTGATCTCATTTCGATTATCTTCGTTTAAATCGACAATTCCTTGTATTATTATTTTAATGAGTAACGACGTTGGTCAGAAATTACGGAGTTCTACGTGATTTCCTCGTAAATGAAACCTCATTACGTATTTTCCTTGAAATTGAATATTTTCTGCATCGTTATTTGAACATATTAAGATACTAACGAAAGCATAATAAATTGCCGATTCCATTTCACGTAGAATGTCGTGTAACATGAAAGTAATATTAAATTTTTGCTCACATAATTTTCAGACGGCCTCACTAGCCTGTATCGTTCCATGTGTCTCTCCGCGTGAGAAATGACCGGGGGACTGGACCGTTCGGTCCAGTTTCCGGGAAACGAAAACGTAGACAAAGAGGGTGGCGATGGAGGGCGATCGAAGAGGAACGGCGTCCTCCAAGAATATAAATAGTGCAGGGGTGAAACCGGAAGTCGCGTGATCCTGAATGATTCGATCTTACCTCGAGTTTCATTTTGATATTTACTCGATGCGCGACGGCTCGAAGGGGAGGAAATCGCATGCTCTGGATCCCTTCGATCCTACATCGAGAGAGGATGGTCCCCATCAATCAAGAACGTCGGAACTGACCGGATCCTGCATCCGATTTCTCTAACATGCTCTCAAGTAAACGACGGAAAAAGGATATTACATATTCAGAAGTGATGTCGCACGGAAATGGGAGGAACTTTGATTCCATTGCTGTACTGAACGGTTTCATAGCACGTCGAATGTATTCAGTTCGTGTCTATTATCCCAAATGAAATTCTGTCTAACCTTCTAACGATCTTCTGATCATGAATCATTTCAATATTCTTACATGAAGGTGTACGCGACACGCCTTCGGCTGCACTTCAAGTGCACGTTGGTACGCTAGATATCATAATGAATATTTGAAACAATCAAACCAGGGAACTTTCGTACAACTGTTCCTTGAATTTGATTAACGCGCTTGATTAACCAGTTAGCTGTTGCAATCTCTTTGAAAAAAGAGTTTGTTTAAATACAACACTTTTATAAAAAATATGTACTTTAATAAAGAATATCAAAGTACAGTAAATTCTCCCTAATTCGCGCGCTCGTTTTTAGCAGTTAACGATTGTCAACAACTATAAAACCGAGCCGTAGGCTCGAATAATCGCATCTCTTCTTCCCAAATTGTTCATTTCTGTGTACAATCTGACCGCGAATCAGGGAAAATTTATCGCGCATTCCTCTGTTTTCCAGTTTCTCGCGAGTATACTGTTACTCTCTCATGGAGAAATTACAACAATTTATGTTACGACGAGTACAAATGCTCTAATATATATACTCGTCAAAAACGACTAACCGGTTAATTTCCGAACTGTGCAGTCGCTGCTCGCGCAATTAAAGATTGTCGACTACAAATGAAAATCATACTTCACTGCCACGAATGTTCAATGAGTTCCGCAGAATTGTTGAAACTGTAGAAATATTTTCGCCGAGAACTCTGAAATGAGGATGACGTGTTGTTGGACGTACCTGGGTGTCGGAGAACAGAAACACGGTCAGTTCATTCTTCATGCCTGCTTTCATCATCGACATTTTAACGTCATCGCGCCAATCGTTCGCGGTGTAAGCGCCGCTCAGCTCGATTTGAAAGCAGTTGTAGTCCTGAATGTGCGCGCTCAATCTCGTTAAACTTTGACGACCTACGTCATGGGAATAGATAATCAATCACGTGTATCGCTACAACTCGTGCATCGCGGTTTTGCTGTTTTCTCTTAAAGATGTTACGCCGCGCTGTGTCGACAATATTTACAATAACAGTGATCACGGTCCGATAAACTGTTGCAAGGGATCGATAGTCTCTCCCTGCAATTTATCAGAGCCGCTATTAATCTTCGACGTATGGAAATATGTAATTACTACGTGTCTCGTTTCAGTGTAGCTAAAGCCCTAGTATTAAATGGATTAAAATCACAGTACTCGAATTTAATAACCCTCTTCATTTAAACAAATTTCGAGATCCTCCTTCATCCAGTTTAAGAGAAATGAAGTCGACTTGTTCGTTACACTGTAAGTTTCACACTAAACCTACCGAAGTCTACAAGCGACAAACAAGTGTTGCCTTATAAGAATTACAGGAAAAAATTTATTAAAATTTTTCAGGATACTTATAATAGTGTCTGCCGGAATAAATAAATAAATTCAACAATTTCTAATGGAAGCAGCTTTACGACTTCGACAATTGAGTCGTTTATTTTGAAAGTGGCATAAGTCACTTTGTTTTTAAGTCGATATATTTAAGGGTTTGCGTTTTAACACGTTTAAAAATATGGATGCTAACTTTCGAGAAGATTTACTTGTATTTGTTATCTCAGGATACTGATATTTTTCTCAGTATAAATAATTTCGTATAAACATTAAAAAATCACCACTTTTCATTACGGTAAAGTGACTTATGCAACT